GCAAACTGTTGTAATTCCGATGGAAACTGATTGTGTTTCCTAAGTAGCTGACCTGTTTTTATATTCTTATGAAGCATAATTTATTAAAAAACTTCTACACGAGAAGAGTAAAACACTAGTTGTGGCCTTCAATTCGACATTCAGATATATCGACGACGTTTTATCAATTAAAATAGTTATTTTCATTTGTATGTCGACTCCAAATATCCCAGTGAACTTGAAATAAAAGATACCACAAAATCTGCCTCATTTGTTTCATATTTAGATGCTTTACCGACCAATTAATGACTAAATTGTATGACAAACGAGATTCCTTTAGCTTTTCCATCTTCAACTTTCCTTATTTATGTAGTAGTATTCCTCTATCACTAGGATATGATGTTTATGTCTTCCAACTTATTCGCTACTCAAGAGCTTGCTCTGAGTACAATCGATTTTTAAAGTGAGACAGGCTACTCACTGATAAATTGATGTTACAGGCAGCATTTCGTAAATTTTATGGTCGTTATAATGACCTTGTTAGCAAATATAACCTATCAATGGGTCGGTTTTTGACTGACTTGTTTCATACCAATTGTTAGGTCTTTGTTTCTGTACTGAATTGACTACGGATAGTTCCGTCTACCTGATCTGTGCATAGGGCTAACGGCGGGTGTGACCGGTCAACAGGGGATGCTTACTCCTCCAAGACACCTGATCCCACCTCTGAAATTTCCAAAGGGTCCGTGTTTTATGCCCTCTTCACATATTTGTATTGTTTATGAATTTTTTGAGATCGATCACTGTTCGTTATCTTTACGTTTTACATATTAGACGTTCCTCAATATATGTTTTCAGCTTATAATCATCACTTATTCAATATGTCGTGTTTAGTTTACATATTTGCCATTCCCATTCAAATAGGTGAAAATCCTTTTGATCACAAGAAATCATTTAATTAATTGTAAACTTAATCCAACACCTTAAGTAAATTTGTCGTCATCCAAGTTTCATAACGTCTTCAGAGTGTTTGAAATAATTTGAATTGTTTATGTCTGTTTGAAATAACACACATTTGTTTATATCTGTTAATTTCAATTTAATATTAGTATACTGTATATTGTTTTTTTTACTTGTCCAATGCAACATATCCATGTAAAATTAAGATTACATAACTGTCTGTCTTTATTATACTATGTATAAACTATAATTTATTCACATATCAATAACAACAATTAAACATATCAACCAAACAAAAACTTATATTATCATGCTTATTTATGTGTATATTGGTAGAGACAATTTGACCGTTTTCAGTTTTATTATAGATTTGATACAAAACACGACTGCGTGGTACACCTATTCGGTTTCTGTTTATTTTTCAGTGCATGATTTTGTTGCTGTGTGAAAAAAGGTGACGATAATGAACAGCGATCGATCTAAATAAAACTTACAAACAATACAAATATGTGAACAGGGCATAAAACACAGACCCCAGAAAATACCAGAGGTGGGATCCGATGCCTAGGAGAACTAAGCATCCCCTGTCAACTGGTCACATCCGCCGTGAGCTCTACGTGTATATATTGATCAGGAAGACATAATTTTCTAATTTTCAAGTTCAGTACAAAAACAAAGACCATAAAAACAAAGACCTAACAAATGATATAAAACACATCAGGCAAAATACGACCCACTGATTACAAATGGAGGATTGTTTGCATTAGAATGTTAGTCATGTTATTTTATATACTTTTCAAACAGTCAACTTAAAATGATCTTATACTTTTAACATTCAAAACCTGACCAACCCGTTTTGAAAATTGTGTATTATTTTGGTTTTGGGACACGCCCCATGTCTCCCCCACCCCCTTCCCCGGCTTGAGTAACGCTGATGCCAATTTTGATGTTTTCTGCAACATCCAAAAAGACAAGCTTTTTAAAAGATTTATATGTCAACTACATACCGGTATTGTAAATGGTCAGGCATTTCTGTACTTCCCATGTGAAGCTTAAAATTGCTATTCTTTTTATTTCTATAATCTCATCTGTGGATAATTAATTGAACAATATGTGCGATTTCTTTTAATTATTAACACATCTCTTTGAAACCTTAATAGAAATATATGGGTATCAGCATTATCAGCATCATTATGGAAAAGGTTGGTATAACAAACAGCGACCGATCTAAAAAAAAATCTATAAACAATACGATTCCGTGAAGAGGGCATAAAACACGGACTCAGGGAAATTCCAGAGGTGGATCAGGTGCCTAGGAGGAGTAAGCATCCCCTGTTAACCAGTCACACCCACCGTGAACCCTATGTATTGGTCAAGTAGACGGAACATTCCGTAATCAAGTTCTGTATAAAAACAATTGGTATGAAACAATTGGGATTCATAAACCAGATAGCAGATTTGAGAATTTCACATATTGTCTGCAAGAACCAAAACCCTGGAAATTATGTTGTCAGCCTGCTTTATTAATAAAGCAGAAACCGTTGGAGGTGCGTAGTAATTGACAATTTGTCATTTTAAGAACTGAAGATCCGATCAAATTTATTAGTGAAAAGTTCACATGGCTAAAAGGATACTATGTTAAGAAATGTCAAGTAGAATTTTTATAAAGCAGCTTATATTTGCTAAATACTTTACAACAAGTACTAGTGGTCCATGTTTTTTGACTAAAGATTAAAGAAATTATTGATTTGAAACACGGAGAAACAAATGTAAATTTTCTTGTTATTCGGTGAGTGGTGTAAATCAAATTAAACAGAATTTTTTCTTAATATCACACATGAGACATTCTAAAAAAGAAATCAAAGATATCGACATCTGTAAACTAGTGCTAATTGTAACGGGAACCGTTACAGATGTCCTGAAACACTCCCCCACTTCCTTATGGGCCCCATTCTCTACAAGCTTCATTAAATTAGGCAATTCTTTTGTGTAATAAATCTTCACTTTATTTCAGAAATATTTAATAGAAAAACAACGCCGGTATGGTCCTTTGAGTATTAGCCAATCAGATTTCAGAGCACGCGCATGGTCATGTTTTCTGGGTATTTCACATGTCTTCCACGTAATGAAACTCACAATAAGTACCTATATGAGAAATCTCAAACATTTTGATTGAAAACTATGAGAGATACAGCCATATAAGTATTAGCCAATCAGAATCCCGTAGCACAATGTAGGAACCCATTACACTTATCTATATTCTAAATATTATCCTGTTTTGTTGAAAACTAAGAAAGTTACAGCCATTTAAATTTTAAGCCAATCAAACTGCAGCACACATGCATGCGCGCATTTTCACGATATCTCATATATATCATATTGTAGAACCTCCCTATGTATAACTATGTTTTAAATTTCAAAGTATTTCGTGAAAAAAGAAGGTTGTTGAGATTATTTGTGTCAGCCAGTCAGAGCGAAGCACACTTTCATGCGCGTGCTTTCTAGCTCATTCAACCACCTCATCTTGTCTACACAACTAATACATGTTTATATAATAAGGTTCAAAGCATATCATAAAAAAATAGGAAGGTTAAAGCTGTTTCAGTTATATCAGTCATTTCACTCCTCGCACACGCACGCACGTGCATGCAATTGCCGCGAACTGACCTTCGTTCCGCACATCTACACAACATGCCTGTTTCATCTCAATCGGATGAGTAGTTTCCGAGAACACTTGGGGACAAAAAGGTACCGGAGAAGAAATTCTGAAAAATGAAGGTAAAAACATTATGTTCCCAAACTTCGTTTTGGGAAAATAATAAGGGAAATACTCAATCAACTGGGTGTTGAATGAAATGTACCCCGTTCAGATAAATGATCATTTAGGACCTTTTACTAATAAGCATCTGTAAAACAAAGATCAGTCGTACCATCCAAAGCAATATTGTTAGTATGTATGGATTTCGTCTCATTCATGCAGATTTGGTCCAGGTAATGCTAAGTGTGAATTCGGAGCGGAACTACTCAAGAGAAAGGTTGTTAGTATGCATCATCAATGTAGGCTTGGTCCAGGTAAAGCTTACAGTTACTTGGAAATGGAACTGCCCTTAACACTTTAACCTTGCCACCCATCTGGTGATAGAAAAATGGATGCAGCATCCACAGCATGTTCCTGGTTGTCATACCTTTGCAGGTTTGATTCAGTCATTAAGTAGCTTGAAATGAAATCTGAAGATAACGAACATTATTACATTTTCAACAGTGAAATACTGTGATTTATTCATTGAATAAAAGTGATATTCTCTCACAGTGTGAAAGGATACCAAAATGATATTCTCTCACAGTGTGAAAGGATATCAAAGTAAGTAAAAAATAATTTCTGACCTGTCATAAGATAGAGATAGTAACTAAACATCTTGATAGAGCTAAAACTGCAATTTTCTTCCCAAATATGTTTCCAAAATCCATGCTATGTAATGTTTTCAATCTCACAACTGCTAAGCTATGACGTCTCAACCGCTCAACTATGACGTCAAGCCTATCTATGACACTGGGCATTCGGCAAACCTCGGCTGATTCCGTCACCTTCATCAAACCTCGGCTGTACGAGGAAACTTGATATGCGTCTCCGCTTAACATTTGTGATAAGGCTGCCTGTTTACCGCTTAGGGAAAACGTAACGCTTTGAAAACGATAATAAACATGCATCTGATATACGATGAAAATTTTCAAAAGCATATAGGTTACACTAAGAATAACACTTACCAAGAAAAATACACTTAGTATCTTTACATAATCACATGTTTGTTAACGGATCAAATTCAGCACACTGTGCACGTGTAAATGTAGGGCGCAGCCATATTGCGTATAAAGTAGCTCCAGTTCAATGGAGGTTTATATGATACAGCCGAGGTTTGATGAGGTACGAATCGGCCGAGGTGTGCCGAGTGTGACACTGGGTTAAGAAAAGACAGAGGCAAAGGGAAAATCAAAGAAAATGTAATAAACAGAAAATTCAATGTTTTGTAGATGAATATAGAATTTATTTCACTCGTGAGACAGGATTTTTTGATATTTTCACTCGTGCTTCGCACTCGTGAAAATATCAAAAAATCCTGTCCCACTCGTGAAATAAATTCCATATTCATCTACAAAACATTGAATATCCTCTATGTATTCAATCTCGAAAGTCCAATTAAACGATACAAATTTGAAGCAGAGCAAACACGGACCTCAAAATTTAGATGTTGGATCAGGTGCCATGGAGGAGTGAGCATCCTCTGCTGATCGGTCCGACCGCCGTGTGCTCCTTGTCATGACCGGAAAAAACCTGGAAAAATCCGTACTCAGTTTAGTGTTTAAATAATGGCCTAACAATTAGTATGAAAAACGTCAGTCAGCATTTGACTCAATGATAGGTTGTATGTGCTGACAAGGTCATTGTATCGACCGTAAAACTTGCCAAAAGATGACTTCAAACGAGACTGTTGATATCCTTGTTTCATCAACTTGTTTGTCAATAGCTTTCCTCGCTTTAGAAATTGTTCATACGTAGATCATGCTCTTGCGTATCGAATCAACTGAGAGACATAAACCCCATATACAGGTGATAAGGGTATATTGCTACATAAGTAAGGGAAGTTGATGATTGAAAAGCTTAAGTCATCAAGTTTATCATAAAGCTTTCTTGTCAGGTTACCATTAACGTCTTTTTCTAGTAAAATATCTAAATATAAGACAGATGTGTCAGAATCTGTGGTAAACTTCCCTAAGAAACCGGAGACACGTTTTTCCAAACTTTTGCGTGTTGAAGATCTGTCTTGAAACCAAAAGTTATATTTTGTAGGCATTCCTGTTTCACCCACCCCCATTCTCCCTCCTCAAACACATCGGATATCTCCTTTTACCCCTTCTTTTTCTCTTCTTATCACGTCTACCTCCTCTTCTTTTCTAACCTTTTCTCCCATTCCCTTTTGCACCTAGTCTTCTGACATTGATTGTATCTAAAGAAAATGAACTAACAAAACCATATTAGACTTCCTCAGGTAATTATTGTCATCAGAAGAGTTTAACTGAGTCAGTTTCTCACACCTTTAACATTAGCAAGGTTAGGGCTAGTGGCAGCAATTCTTTGCTGTGCCAGACGAAGCACATTTCCGACAAAATCACTGTTCAGTACAAACAATGTTCTAAATATCCCTGATTTTCTTTTTGAGAGGAGCCACAGCTGCCACACTTGAGCACATTCCCATTGTAAATAACAGACAAATACATGTAGACGGGTAACGAAGTCCTTATATGCTATACTTTTGTTATATAGTGAATAAGTTATATATAAATTATTTTCAGCAATTTTACGTCATGGCCGGCAATTCTTTTTTATGAAAATGTCCATCGGTTTAGAACTGATATGAACCAACAGTACTTCCTAATTAGTGGGAGGAAAGCCGGACATAAGCTTATTGATGCTTATGTTGGTTAAAAAAATGAACAGTTTATGTAATTGTAAAATAATAATAGGATAACAAACAGTTACCAATCTCATAAAGTATATAAACAATACAATGTTAATATACAACAGATATCTGTATTTAGTAGACATTTATACTTTCTTAAGATGGTTTTCAATGTACCGTCCTTTCCGGTATATTGAAAACCTACTCAAGAACAAAGGGACTTGTTTTATATAATATACTAGTATATGCTATTTTTCAAAGCATGTCCAATCCCATGTTAAAATGTTAAAGGGCAGACAGGTACATGTAGACGGAAGACCTAACCCCAAAATGTTATACTCTTGTTTTAGTAATAACAATTAAATGATAATAAATTGGATTTTATGTCTTGACCGACAATTTTCTTTTTATGTTTTTTTTTATTTAACGTCCCCTTGAGAATTCTTCACTCATACACATTACTCGCCGGTGGAGGGCTACCACTGGCGGACTTAAGGGGGGGCGTGGGGGGCGCACGCCCCCCCTAAAATTTTCAAACTATGATATGACTAATATTAATAATGCCATACTTAAGTATATAACTAACCAATACCACTATTTTTGTGCCTGGTTTTACTCTTAAAATACACGAAAACCCAGGAGCTTCCGGGGGCTTCGCCCCCTGGGCCCCCCTCTATTCAAAGTATGATATGATTAGTATTAATAATGCAAACTGTGGTACATATAAACTAACCAATACCACTATTATTGTGACTGGTTTTACTCTTAAAATACACGAAAACCCAGGAGCTTCTGGGGGCTTCGCCCCCTGGGCCCCCCTCTATTCAAAGTATGATATGATTAGTATTGATAATGACAAACTGTGGTACATATAAACTAACCAATACCACTATTATTGTGACTGGTTTTACTCTTAAAATACACGAAAACCCAGGAGCTTCCGGGGGCTTCGCCCACTGGGCCCCCACCAGGGCTTCGCCCTGGACCCACTGGGGGCCTTAAGGCGGCCCCCTGACCCCCTGCCTGAACGAAGTTATCCACGCCCCCCCTAATCACAAATCCTGTATCCGCCCATGGCTACAAATTTAGACCTGTACTCAGCACTTACGACCTCTGAGAAGTGAGGAATCTTTTTCGTGCAAGCACCTATTGCAAACCGGGACCTTGGTTTATACGGTCTCATCCGAAGGACGGGTCTCCACGTCCCGCAGTAGGGTTCAAACCATAAGGATCAAGTCTTTACTCCACGAATCTAGAGGAAACGCTTTAATTCCCTTTTATGAAAATGTCCATTGATTAAGACTTATATAAGCCCACAAGAGGCTCCAGACAACTTCCTTATTATTGCTTTTGGTTTGTTAAAAAATCGTTTATATAATTGATGAACAACAGGAAGATAACGAACAGTGATCATTCTCCTAAATCGTATTATATGTACACATGTAAATTACACATGTAAAATACACATGTAAATTACACATCAAGAATAGACGGCAGCCTAACGTGGACACAACACTTCCTCTTTCAGACAGACAGACTTGTTTCATATACATGTGTGTACACTAGTATATATTATTACATGAATGATATCTGTATTTTGAAAGCTTTTTTGGTTTATAATTCACGCGGTTCCAAACCCATGGTAAAAAGCAGGCAGGTACATGTAGACGCATGACCTCACCGATATACTTTTATATTTTTTTCATAATTAAACAATTACATGTAAATTATTTTTAAGGGATTTTACGTCATGGGGGAAAGTTTTTAATGAGAAATCATTGGTTTTAAAAACAAAATGCAATTAACTTCTTGTTTATTAAAAGACCAAAATAATTAACGCATTGTTGCTTTAGTTGTTTAAACGTTAATAATTTAATTCTGTTTGCATTCTAACCTCTGATTGGTTAATATCCAAAAAGGAACACAGGTTAAATCTGTATAACCTGGTTTTGTATGGGGACACACCCCCTTGACAACCAGCTGAATCATCTGTATCCATGCAATCCTTTCATTTCCAATCCTTTGGATTCATGGAAAATGCCACATTTAATAACTGTACCTTTAACTTCAAACAGTAACTCGATCTAACCACATGTTAACAACAACATGGCTGCTAGGCCTATATCTATCAGTTTCTAGATCCCCTAATTTCCGTTGCTAGGTTGTATTATAAGGAATAACTCTAATTCTTGGCCAAACTATTCGAGTATAACCTGGTTTGGGTCAGTTAACGCTATTTTATAATCCACTTCGCCGTTATAAAGCGTAAACTGACCCAAACCAGATTATATTCGAATAATTTGGCCAAGAATTAGAGTCATTTCTAAAATAGTCCTCATAAGTAACAAAAAATGAAACAATGGTCAATTTCATAAATAGTACAAACAAAACAAATTGAGAACGGGGCAGAAACACAGTTTCCGGAGTAAAGACAAATAATAACCTCCGTAGAATAATGATCAGGGGGTCATCGAAAAATGGCCCCTTGCCGTAGAAAAATGTATTTCTTTTTTGTAGAAAAAGAACCCTAGGGGTCAGTTTTCTACAAGTGCAACCAATAAGAAATTTACCCCCGTTGAAAAATGACCCTGATCACAACAGAGTGATACAAATTTCAAAAGAGATGACTGATGCCAAGGTTTAGGTCTCATTGGGTAATTCTGATTTTCTGATTAACACTTGACGAACACGCAATTAAAATTTGTTGAACAACTGTACATTACATGTGTTTCTTTTTATAGACCTATTGTGTTCTAAACTCAAAATTAAAATTACACAATAGATACGTCAGAGTGGCTACTGGTTAATTTCAAGCTGTTATCATGTCGTTCAGAGGGTAAGTCAGGACGATATATTGTTATCGCTAGACTTATTATTTGGTCCGAACATTTTCTCGGACATGACTTGGATAAACGTAATGAAACGTTACAGAAATGACAATGAGCAACTCTAGATGTTCATTGAATATTTTGATTTTTAAGTAACTCACCACCGTTGTCATGGAATTGTCAGCAAATACTCTCACAATTGGCTTTTACTATCTTTGTGAAACTTCAAAAAAATGCATTTACATTTACGTATTTAGAACTGTTTCCATCGCCTTGGAAACGATTGGGCAAACTTTTTCTCACCACGAACGAGTGAACGAAATTGCACAGGTACAAAATTGTCGTTACATGATCATTATGTATGGATCATTGTGTATGTCTGTTGTATGAGGCGCCGGATTGGTATTTATTGCCATTTATTGATATCACCTAATCGAATATGTTACATCACTTATTCGAATAGGTGATATCACGTTTTCTAGTTGGTGATATCACCTATTGTAAATGAATAGGTGATATCACATATCGGAATTGGTGATATCACCTATTTGAGTTGAATTGGTGATATCACCTATTTGTTTTGAATTGGTAATATCACCAATTTGAATTGATGATATCACCTTTTTGCATTTCTTACAATAATAAATAATTATTGCTCCCTTCCTCAAGACAATCTAGCTTCAATGCAAAGTAAAAGATGAAATTTTAAACGGCTTTCAAAGAGCAATTCTATTTCCTTTTAAATGTGTTGGATCAACTTATGAAAGGAATGGAACAATTAAAGCAAAGCTGCAAAAAGTGCCTCTATTTTTAATGTGTTACATTTTCTGTGTCATATGTTCATCCCAGTACAATGCTAATTTATAGGAATTTAAAATTTACCATTTTCTACTTACTGTAATCGA